TATGTATATATATATATGTATATATATATATACATATATATATACATATATATATATATATATATATATATATATATATATATTAGATCTTAGATCACTCGGTTATCTGTATCCCAACACGGTATTAGCTGCAAGATTTGGGTTGAAGTGATGATATTCAGAATCTAAGAAAATCTTGACTAAATATACCTGGATTAAATGCTTATCTGCACGCAAACAGTTTGACTTACATTGTCTTGTCCAGATTTTACTGTTATTGCTTGAATTGTGAGAAAGAAGAGGATAATGGTGGTATTAGGACAGATCCTCATTTTACATGGTACCAATTTTTCCTAGTACAAAAATCTTGCATTAAAAGGACAACATTAATCCAAGTAAATATTGAGTATAATTTCTTAAAACCATGCTCGACTGTAAACGGTTGATGGAACATTTAAGCTATTAAAGAGTAAGTATGACAAACTTAAATGTAATACAGTGTATTTTTTTGTATATACAATGAAGCAAGGAAGGGATTCATTCCAATCCGAATTGCCAGGATCGCCACGTGTGACAAGTTTTAAATGAGATAACATACTTGACACACAATCAACAGTAATCCCCCGAAGAAAAAGGGGAGAAGGGGGGGTCACACAAACCTATTGAAGCTACTATTTATGTGACTTGTGAAATGCAGAAAAAGGCAAGCTAAGGCTGCAAGGCACAAGGAATGGCGCTTTCCACATGCATTGTACCAACCGTAGTCGGAATTGGTCAATGACAACAAGCTGTATCTAATTTTCTTTAACTTTTCTGCGAAATGATGCTGAACCACATCTTTTAAAAGAGAAGTAATTGAGTTCATACCAAAAAAAAAAAAAGATCTTCTTTTTAGGGCACATTAACTGCGTGAGAATGTAAAAATATTCAACGAGTGATAAGAGATTTTTATTTTATAAGGGATAAAGTTGAACCATATCTAGTAGGGCCAGACGACTTTGTTTCCCCTAGCTTGGCGAATTCATCTCCACGCAAGGATATTGTTTGTGCACCTCTTACCATTCTCGCTAATCTTTTACAACGATTGGGAAGACAGTCGTAGAAGCAAAGCGAATCAAACACGGTAACTATCTAATACACGATTGTGATCTTTTCAAATCTTTGATTAAATGAACCTGTTTAAAAAAAGAAAGGTTATAGTACGCGATTCGTTCCATTTATGTGAATTATTTGAATAAGTGTTCAGTCTAAAATGTTTCCGGACTGTATACATACATCCGTGAGTAACTTAGTGTATGACAAATTTCTTTGAGAGGCATGAACAAAGAAAAGAAAAAGGGGTCAACCTCTAAATGTGTAATTGATATACTGTCCTTGGGTTGAGGAGTGTCCATAAAAATTATTGCAACACCCACCAGCATTTGCCATTATTATAACAGAACCTATACTACTTTTAAATGTCAATTATTCTTCAAAACTGTTAATTTTTTTTACCCTTAAACAATACATGAAGATCATTTTTATCTGTATTTTATATACACTGAATATCAGAGTAACCATTTGGGACCTTATGTTTTCCCTGTATTACGAAGTAGGAAAAAAATACATTTGCACCTCTTTATCATTCCGGTAAAAACAATGATATATTTTTTTGGCAAGTAAGAATGAATTCTATTAATCGAAGAGGAGATACATGTATACGAGATATACTTCAAGTAATTATAAGTAAATCATAGAACAAAAAGATGTCCAATCTTGTATACTAACTTAGAAGATTGACAATTCTCTCCAAAAATCTAAAACAATTTACAAAGCCAAACAGCTATGGAGCACACTCAATTAGGCCATTAGTCAAACTGTCTACGTCTTTTAATCTTCCTTTGTATGAACTTAATTACGTGAATAGATAATTAACACTAATCCGAAGAGAGACCTCTCTCCTCTCCCATCCCAAGCTCTTTGTCTTCTATCATTGTTTTCTTTGGCTATCACAGCCTGGCTTTATCCCAAGCTATTTCATCTTCTACCTTTTTTCTTCCCCATCCAAAGCTTTTTATCGAAAATGAACGGGACATTCTTTTTTACATCCGCAGTTATTATGGTCTAAACCACTAATCAGCATCATTGCTAACCATGATACTAAGATAGTTTCCAAGATCCTCAAAAGATTATGAAGAGGATTGTTTGAGGAAAGAGAGTGAAGATTGGTATGTACTTTGCAACATGCTGGGGTTTGATGTGTTATTCGATATATTTACAAAACAAAAAGGTCATGAATTATTTTCCATGTTCCATGGTTAGTCTCTCTCTCTCTCTCTCTCTCTCTCTCTCTCATCATGTTGGGGCTGCAAGGATTGCAAAAGCACCAAAGACTGATATCGAGTTATGAAAAACCTTTTCCTTATAACAATACTGGGGTGTATGCCTGTTTTATTTTTAAAACTGGCCTGTGTTACTAATGTTTTTTGTCTAATTTTACATCCTTAACCATCTGAGCAAGGTAGTTTTTTTGCTCATCAGGACTAGATTCTTCAAGCAAGAACTCTTTTAAGTCTTGTTATTTATGTCATAAATCAATGTCTAGGACATCAAAAAAAAAAAATTATATTGAAGTTCCTCCCAAGAACTGAATTTAAGCTTCTTGAGCTATCTGTAATGTTTAATGCATGTGGCTTCATGCAGTATATTACTTGATAACTTTGTCTTCTGTATGGGCATCGGCTACTGAAGAGTTTAGTAATTACAGTATTTACTTCTCTTTTTCTTTGTTGCACAAGTGTATGGATTCCTTGTACATTATTGTTATACATTTCCTCTAATTAATAGAAGTTTCATTTGTGATAATAATTTTTTTAAAAAAAAAAAATTGATAGTGGCAAACCAAAAATCAAATGTCCATATCTAGCTGTAGTTATGTGTAAAAGACAGCCACCCTTTTGCCAAATATGCCTAAAAGACAATGAAATAATGGATATGTACATGTGCTTTAGATGTAAATAGACTCATAGGAGAGTTGGTTTCCCATGGAATACAGAGTTGATTGATTATTTTTTGAAAGTGTTCAACGACTTTAATACACAAATATTTCATACCCAAAATAGAAATTCAATTAATTACATGCAACTTATTATTCTTGTTGCGGTTTTTGAAGTTTAGTACAAATCTAACAGCAATCTTTTCCAATACAATATATTTTCTCTTATTTGTTTTCTCCATCCTGTAACAAGCTGCATTGAGCATCTAGGTCATGAACAAAGACACAAGAGATCTTCCATGTAGACGTTTCTATGACGAAATAATTTGCATTTTATATCCTGAATCAAAGCATCCATCCTGGGATAATTCCATTTTCATTTTGTGTCGATGTTGCAACATTCAGCTGAGCCAACGCCAAGGGATTATATCTGTAATTGAAGAATCATAGAAACGTAAACTAACTTGCATAATATGATTACCATGCTTAGTATAAACTCTAGAGTGTTTTGACATGTACTGAACTATATTATATGTATGTCATTTTTTTTTAATCGATGAAACCAATTTTTTTGAACAAAGAGGAAAGAAACATACCCAATCTGCAATGTATGATTGCATTCCAAAGGTTCAAAAAATCCGTCGGGCCTAGAAGGCTGGTGTATGTACTGCATATTGCTCTCCCTGTGTTCCCATGATGGTTGAAGGGGTACAGTACTTTCTTCTAACTGCGAAGACAGAAATTTAAACTCACCTAATTGTTAATAATATAACTGCAATTCGTCGATGCATGAAAATCAGGTTAATGTCTCCAGAAAACTTGGTTTATTGGTCAGGGAAATGATGTGTGGTTTCAAAGTTGATCAATCTTTAAACGATTTGAAGGCAGCCAGGCACCAAAAAAATATGAGATCACTGGAACGGTTTTGATACCATTTTGTTGGAATTAAGAGGACTAGAATACAGATCAATGAACCTTTAGTCTAATGGTACTCTTCACCTTGTGAAGGTTTTGCGTTCAATCAAGGGTTCAAGCTTCCTTCTCCTCTCCCCCTCCCCCAAAAAAATTTAAAAAAAAAAAAAAAAAAAGGACTGGAATACAGTGGAAATGAAGTATAAGAAGTGATCAACCCTCAAGCTAAACTAATTCTTCATTAAAATGGATTACAAACCACATATTCAAAAGTAATCTTCACTCAACTCAACTCTATTTATCTCTAACAGTGGACTACATACCTTGTTCATATAGATTTTAAACATAACTCCAAACATTATATTATCTCGTCACTATCTCCATTAATTCTTGTAAACACAAAATATTTTTCACTACTTGGAGAATTAACACCTCACTAACACTCTTATCTTGTCTTTAATTACCATATATTTTTAGTTTAATTGGACCCCATATAACAACAAAAGGAAAAATACTTAAATATAAAAAAGATTTCGAATATATTATCTGGGTAAACGTAGCTCAGCTATTTATACCTTGCTCCTCAGGGCTTTGTTGACTTCCAATAGTGTTTGCTCCTGAAAAAGCATTAAAAGTTTGGCAATATTGACATTATTACACAAACAACTAGGATGATATCAAATGTTTTTGCTGATGCATACCTTCTGTTGGAGATCAGCAAATTGATCAAGCATGCATTGGGTCTGCAATACAGTGAAGAATAGTGGAGTTAGATGGCTTCCTCAAAAGCCACAATTACATTATTATTTTTTTGGTAATACTAGATTGATCGAAAGAAGATAAAAACACCAAATGATATGACTTTGACTTGAGATAAGTGAATTTCAACTCTTGTCAGTGTAAAAATGATATTAAAGTCACTATCATGTCAGTACCAGATTATTTCGTTCCTATTTTTTGTTCCATTTTTCGATCAGTCGAGTAATACCCATTTTTTTTGTCATGCCTAGGAAAGCCAGGGGAGGATAATTCAGTCATGGTTGAAACCCTATCCTGCAAGACTCATGAAAGATAAGTTCTGGTTGTGTTTGTCCATCGAGGATTTTCATTAAACCAAATGGATAGGGTTCCTTCTATCTTAAAATGGCGATGAACAAGATTGAAGCAAGAAGTCACAGCTTCAATAATCAACTTTTCGACGATCAACTAAATTTTCTCTTGGATATAGTTTTGGCCATTGTTAGAAACACATACCCTCGTGGATCTAATTTGCTTCAAAGATGAGTCGAGTTGACGCTCAAGATGCTCAAGCTCCTTTGTGCCCAATTTCCCCAAATCTTCCCCTAGAAAATGCCTGAAGAATTTCAAATTAATCTCCCAAAAATTAGTAATGAGTGCTAGGCACAGTAATGACTTTGGAAGAACATGAATATTAATCAGGGCCACTGTTGAAAGTGAAACTGATGCACTAATATCTATGGTGAAGTTACCTTTGAGATTGTTGTAGGGCCCCAACTCTTGCTTTCAGCTTCAAGTACTCCTGGTAGTTGTTCTGCTTAAAGACATGTAACTGTTAGATTTGGTGTAATAGAACAAGGGTAATACTGGTCATTTAATCAACATCACTCATTGAATTATGGTTGTGCATGAGTTCAGTAGTAAAGCTAGTTACAATAAAATTATAGAGAGGGTGAGAGAGAGTAGTAAGAGAGGGGGAAAAAAAAAATGCAAAGTAACCTGCGAATCCTTGGCTGGTTGGCTTGCTTCGAGTGCACCATAACTGCATCTTTGATACCTCTCCAATGTCGCGGCAATACTACAACAAGAAAGCACATGCCAAAATCTTCATACATAATCAATACAAGAACACCAACCACATGCAAACACTTCCACGAATGAAGACCATCGAACTCTATAAAACATCATCCAAGACTCAAAACATGTCTGACTCGAAAACTCGACACATTCAATTCTATCACCAAATCCATTTTTCCTTCTTTTTTGATAAACATGGCAATATATGCATATTTTAAATAGATTTTATCCAACATCATACTGCAGTCGCAAGAACTCCAAAAGACCAATAATCCTCTAATTAATCCCCATTTTTCCTTCTTACTTTTGTTGCTTCTAATTAACTCTGCCTTTCTGTTATAAACAACAATTAAAAGAACCCACAAGACTAATATACATATATGTGCGTGTGTGTGTGTGTTTACCTAGAGTTGCTGCAGAAGTCATAGAGCTTGCCACGGGCGGAGAAGATGATGAGAGCAACCTCAGCATCACAGAGCACAGAAAGTTCATAAGCCTTCTTCAACAACCCATTTCTTCTCTTTGCAAATGTCACCTGCCTATTAATCTTGTTCTCAATCCTCTTCAGCTCTACCTTCCCTCTTCCCATTATTATATTCCTACATCTATATAGATGTTGTTGTGGCCTTTCCCTTACAAGATCATAAACTCTTACTATAATCTCACAACATAAAGTCTGCAATATATAGATGGGAATCCAGACTACACACATCCTTATTCTTTGTCCTCTTCATTTAAGTCTTATAAGAGACAAAAACAAGTATGTTTATGGTTATCAGATCACTGGTTTCTTGTCTTTCTTTACAAGCCATGCATCATTCAAACTAACGCTGTCAATTGTGTCGTATCAGGCTGTCAATTAGGTCATATCATGTCCCTTTTAAAATATGTCATTTTCGTATTAGTAAAAACTTATTTAATTTTACAACATCTCNACGTCGTATCATGTCATTTTTAAAATATGTCATTTTCGTATTAGTAAAAACTTATTTAATTTTACAACATCTCATAATACTAAAAAAAAAAATTAAAAAATACTTATTTTCTGTCATTATATGTTAATTGTGTTATTTGTGTCTGATCTTATTTTAAATTATTTATCATTTATCAAATATTAGTTTTAAAATTTGTATCAAGTCGAGTTCATCTTGATATATAAAAATTGACAACCATAATTCANATTTATTTTCTGCCATTATATGTTAATTGTGTTATTTGTGTCTGATCTTATTTTAAATCATTTATCATTTATCAAATATTAGTTTTGAAATTTGTATCAAGTCGAGTTCATCTTGATATATAAAAATTGACAACCATAATTCAAACTTTAAGATGGCCAAACGGCCAACGAGGCCCGAACCTAGAGCCTAGTAGTCTAGCTAACCCTGAACCAGCTTGGCCCGCCACCTTATCGCCCCAGGATGTTCTAATAGTCAATGAATGAATTCTCCACCGCCCACGTGAATGGAATTTTATGTTATGGCCATTTTTCCACAAGGGTAGACCCAGGAAAGGGCAGACTTGCAAACAACCATAAACATACGGACCTGACTTTGGTGCAGCCAAAAAAACTTTCAGTGCCATACCGCCAAAATTTACTATTTCAAAGGATATTTTTACAATTTTTATGAGTCATTTTACAACCAAAATATTTATCGTTTTTGTAATTGATTTACCATTTTAATGGGTGTTTTTACCACTATTATGCATATTTTNACGAAGGGCAGACTTGCAAACAACCATAAACATACGGACCTGACTTTGGTGCAGCCAAAAAAATTTTCAGTGCCATACCGCCAAAATTTACTATTTCAAATGATATTTTTACAATTTTTATAAGTCATTTTACAACCAAAATATTTATCGCTTTTGTAATTGATTTACCATTTTAATGGGTGTTTTTACCACTATTATGCATATTTTTACTATGTTTCTTAAGTACAAAAAAAATTATTACTTTTATGATTGATTTACTACATTTATGAATATTTTTACTACTGTTGTGATAAATATTTTTTTCATTTTTTTGAGTATGACAAAGTGGTAAAACTATCAACAAATGTGGTAAAAGCTACCACAAATGTGGCAAATTTTTGTATGATACCGAAAAACTTGTGGGATGTACCGTAGTCTACTCCTAAACATACTGGACAACGAAAGAACGATTTGTTTGGNATATTTATGAATATTTTTACTACTGTTGTGATAAATATTTTTTTCATTTTTTGAGTATCACAAAGTGGTAAAACTATCAACAAATGTGGTAAAAGCTACCACAAATGTGGCATATTTTTGTATGATACCGAAAAACTTGTGGGATGTACCGTAGTCTACTCCTAAACATACTGGACAACGAAAGAACGATTTGTTTGGTATTATATGTGTGCGAATCTTATATGGGTTTAAAAATAAGTAAAAATGTCTTAATATAATATAAAATGACTCACTACATATAAACTTTAACACTTTTAAGAAAGTATAATCGTTAGTTATGTATAGTGAATCTTGAATCGTTGGTTTCCCGTCATAACACGCCATTAGGCGAAACTAGGTGCAAGATTTGCGATACGGTTGATGATTTTTTGAATCTAATTGTGAGATGATGTAACATACGGGACTAAATGCTTGTCTGCACGCCAAGTGGTTTGGCTGATAATGCATTATACAGTTTTTTGTGGGTAACTCAAGTGATAACATAAATGAACCGTAAACTAAGAAGTTCTGAGTTTGAATCTTGACAATTTATTGGAGCAAATCCATGAGAGAATTATCCCTTATGAATATCCTAGTCCCGGCATGGACCAGAGAAAGNCATAAATTAAGAAGTTCTGAGTTTGAATCTTGACAATTTATTAGAGCAAATCCATGAGAGAATTATCTCTTATGAATATCCTAGTCCCGGCATGGATGACCTGTCTTTGACTGGACCAGAGAAAGCATTAATCAAAGTGCGCATAAACTTATCACAACACCTTTTTATCGTTGAACAAAAAAAAAAAATTGTTTTTTAGATCCTCGTGGTACAAATTTTCCTAATACAAAACTCTTACATTATAAGGACACCATTCCAAGTGAATAGAGTCTAATTTCTTAAAACNCGTAAACTAAGAAGTTCTGAGTTTGAATCTTGACAATTTATTGGAGCAAATCCATGAGAGAATTATCCCTTATGAATATCCTAGTCCCGGCATGGACCAGAGAAAGTATTAATCGAAGTGCGCATAAACTGATCACAACACCTTTTTACCGTTGAACAAAAAAAAAAATTGTTTTTTAGATCCTCGTGGTACAAATTTTCCCAATACAAAACTCTTACATTATAAGGACACCATTCCAAGTGAATAGAGTCTAATTTCTTAAAACCGTGCTAGACTACAAATGGTTCATATAAAATCCAGCGATTTTGGAATAAGTAAGACAAACTTATATGTAATACACTATATTGTTTTTGCATATTCAATGTAAGGGGAAGGTATTCAGTTCAATCCGAGTTGCCAAGATCGTCACGTGTGACAATCCTTAAAATACGATATATACATAATACAAAATCAACAACAGTCACCTTCCCAGGGGGAAGGGATACAATGGTGAATTAACTCGGGCATGAAGAAGCTTCTATTTCGGATGGAGAAGCTACTATTTATGTGACTTGTGAAATGCAGAAAAAAGGCTAGCTAAGGCAACAAGGCACAAAGATTGGGGCATTCCAAATGCATTGTACCAAACGAGTCAACAAAGAGATGTACCTAACTTTCTTCAACATTCCTGTGCAATGATGCTGAACTAGGACCATATCTATTAAAGAAAGGGCTATTATTTTTTTAAGAACATTGCAAGCATTTACAAAACCGAGGGATAAAGTGAAATTTCTAACATAATCGATAATGAAAGAACACGAGCTTTATACCATACTAAAACAGTACTGAAATTTCATTTATTACATGCCAATTGTTATTATTATTGTCGCGGTTTTGAAGTTTAGTACATATCAAACAGCAATCTTTTACAATACAATGTATTCCTTTTATTAGTTCTCTCCATCCAATAACAAGCTGCATTGAGCAGCTAGTTCATGAAATCAGACAGAAGAGCTCTTCCATGTAGACCTTTCTGTGACCAAATTACATTTGCCTTTGAGATCCTGAATCAAAGCATCCATCCTGGAACAATTCCATTTGTGTTTTGTGTCGATGTTGCAATGTTCAGCTGAGCCGATGCCATGGGATTGTAACTGTAACGCAACAAACATAAAGAAGTAAACTAGTTTGCAGAAGACGGTTATCACGCTAGATGAACTTGTGCATATAAGGAGGCGAAATACAACAAGAGGAACGCTCTTAGTAGTAAAACTCGGGAGCATTTTGACATGTCTTGAACTGTATTATATATTCTACACTTCTTTTTTAAATCAATGAAACCAATTTTATAGAAAAAGGGAAAGGAAACATACCCAATCTGCAATGTATGATTGCAATCCAGAGGTTCAAAAAATAAATCTGGCTGAGAAGGCTGGAGTCTGTACTCCATATTGTTCCCCCCAGCTTCCCATGATGGTTGAAGGGATGCAGTACATTCTTCCAACTGTCAAAATGTAAATTTTAGACCCCGCTTATTGTTAATAGTCTAACAGCAAAGTATAGAAATGAATTATATTTACACGGTCTCATAACGAATCATTCATGATTAACCAAATCATTGATACAAATAATATCCAAAATTCCAAATCCGACTTCTATATAACCGCTGTAAAGTAGAAAATTTTGGAAAGGTCAAAGAATTATTACAATAGTTCCCATCCTAATCTTATTAAAAAACTACATATAGTTTTGTGGTTACAAGCCAAAGTTCAAAATCGAAGCATATACTTTATTGGTTTCTTGGTTAGGAAAAAGATCCGGGAAAATTGAATGTGACTACCAAATCAATGCTATTTTTTTTAATTGTCGCACGCAGTTGCAGGGTTCTTATACCCACGATGCTAGTAATTTTCCATCTTGGTTGTAGCATGTTGGTATGTCCCTAACTCCATTAGTGGTAAGGTTTATTTCCGACTCTGCTTTGTAAGCTTTAACTGGAATGATATACTCGAAGGGACAGACAGGGGTAGGGGTTCGATTTTACTATGGAAGGACCAAAACAGGACCAAACAAGTTTTTGCCATTGTTAATTTTAATGTTCAATTTTGTGGAGCATGATAACTATGGAAAGGCCATTGGAATAACTTAATATGTAGGTTCTTTGACATACTAGTAATACTCAGNGGTGAACTTGTGCATATAAGGAGGCGAAATACAACAAGAGGAACGCTCTTAGTAGTAAAACTCGGGAGCATTTTGACAAGTCTTGAACTGTATTATATATTCTACACTTCTTTTTTAAATCAATGAAACCAATTTTATAGAAAAAGGGAAAGGAAACATACCCAATCTGCAATGTATGATTGCAATCCAGAGGTTCAAAAAATAAATCTGGCTGAGAAGGCTGGAGTCTGTACTCCATATTGTTCCCCCCAGCTTCCCATGATGGTTGAAGGGATGCAGTACATTCTTCCAACTGTCAAAATGTAAATTTTAGACCCCGCTTATTGTTAATAGTCTAACAGCAAAGTATAGAAATGAATTATATTTACACGGTCTCATAACGAATCATTCATGATTAACCAAATCATTGATACAAATAATATCCAAAATTCCAAATCCGACTTCTATATAACCGCTGTAAAGTAGAAAATTTTGGAAAGGTCAAAGAATTATTACAATAGTTCCCATCCTAATCTTATTAAAAAACTACATATAGTTTTGTGGTTACAAGCCAAAGTTCAAAATCGAAGCATATACTTTATTGGTTTCTTGGTTAGGAAAAAGATCCGGGAAAATTGAATGTGACTACCAAATCAATGCTATTTTTTTTAATTGTCGCACGCANAAGAACATGGTCTTCCGCCTTAAAGAATTATTACAATAGTTCCCATCCTAATCTTATTAAAAAAGTACATATATTTTTGTGGTTACAAGCCAAAGTTCAAAATCGAAGCATATACTTTATTGGTTTCTTGGTTAGGAAAAAGATCTGGGAAAATTGAATGTGACTACCAAATCAATGCTATTTTTTTTAATTGTCGCACGCAGTTGCAGGGTTCTTATACCCACGATGCTAGTAATTTTCCATCTTGGTTGTAGCATGTTGGTATGTCCCTAACTCCATTAGTGGTAAGGTTTATTTCCGACTCTGCTTTGTAAGCTTTAACTGGAATGATATACTCGAAGGGACAGACAGGGGTAGGGGTTCGATTTTACTATGGAAGGACCAAAACATGACCAAACAAGTTTTTGCCATTGTTAATTTTAATGTTCAATTTTGTGGAGCATGATAACTATGGAAAGGCCATTGGAATAACTTAATATGTAGGTTCTTTGACATACTAGTAATACTCAGGCATTATTTGAATGCCAGGGACCATAATCCCTCCCCCCCAAAGAAAAAAAAAAACAACAACAAAAAAAATGAAGGGTTAATTGTTTTTTACCCCTATGTGATTTTGACTAAAAGTACATTACCTAGTTGACGTTTAAAATTATGCACATTACCCCCTTGTAGTTATGTACCAAAGTAAAATGATTATTTTTATCATTCAAGTTAACGGAGAATGTACTTCTCATGTTCAAAACATGTTGTGAGCCTTCTTTCCATTGATTTCCTCCAAAAAAAAAACATTGTCAAAGTATCTAAAATACCGTTTATAATATATGGTATAATATTCAAATAGGTAGGACATTGGTTCCAGATCAAAAAACATGTAAAAAAAAAACAAGTAATTTTCGGCACCGGAACAAAACTTCACTTAAGGGAAAAAGAGACTTAGCATGTTTGATTAAAATGTGTTAACTTATTGTCATGTTCCATTAGTTTTATAGTCAAGACTAAATCAGATGAAAAGTTTGATTTAAAAATTGAGTATTATGGTAATTTTTTAATTCTATTAACGACGCCAATTAATTCGCATTGGTACATAACTATACAGGGGTAATATACATAATTTTATACATCAAATAGGTAAGATACTTCTAATTGAAACCACGGGGTTAAAAAGCAATTAACCCAAAAATGAACATGGCTCCCCCATTGGGTAGTAGGTTTATGTGCCAGACCCCCAAACCTAAAAGATCGTTTTTTTTTTCCAAGAACTATAAAAGGAAATGAGAAAAAGCAACACAAGAAAATATCATTTATTTCAAGTTTTCTAAACCCCATAAAACCACAAGAGGAAACAAATTTGACAAAAAAAAAAAGGTTTCAAGTATCTAGCTCAGGTGTTTGTACCTTGCTCCTTAAGCCATTGTTGACTTCCAATAGTGTTTGTTCCTGAAAAAGCATTAAAATTTTGGACATGTCAAACATTATTGCATTAACAACGCAGACGATATAAAATGTTTTCCAATGCATACCTTCTGTTGAAGATCAGATAGTTGATCAAGCATATATTGGGTCTACAAATCATTAAGAACAGTAACGTTAGATGCCTTTTATAAAAGCCACAATTATCCTTTGGCAGACAGACAGTTCAAGTATTTCCATGAAAGAAATGGACACCTATGTCGCTCCAGGAAAAGATAATTCACTCATGAATGAAACATTGGCCTGGAGGACGCTTTGAAAGATAACTTTTATGTCGTGTCTATCAATTTTGTCGTAAAGAAAATCTTATACTACAAAAAATAGCAACTTTAGTGGCAAGAAAAGTCGTCACTAAAACTCTTAAATTTGTCACAAAAGTAGTTAGCGGTGAAAAAAAAAAATTGCGACTAGGTTGTCACTATAAGTTAATAGTGACAAGCTACATAAGTTGTCACAAATAATATAGACCTTTAGTGAAGATTCTGTATCATCACTAAATCACTCTTAATAGCGACAAAATTTTATCGCCACTAATATTTTAAACTTTCATCACTAAAAAGTATATTTCTGTCACTTAAAAACTATTTTCAGCCCAAAAAAAAAATTAGTATCAAAATATATTAACACTAATTAGTATCAATCAATCATTAGTGACGGAATATTTTGTTGTCACTAATATATTTAGTGACAATTTCAACCACAACCACAACCACATGATTTTCCTCACACAGAGCCACTTGCATACACAATAGGGCTGGCATTGACTCACAAGTTTTTTTTTTTTAATGAAAAAATAAAGGTTAGTTTGAGGCAAGAGGTCACAGTTACGATAAAACTAAAGTTTTTAAACATTTCTAGTATGAACTATAGTAAAACTCAGTAGTTCTGTAGTTTCCACGACATATGTATTTGTGACCGTATTACATTTTATTTTGGATATAGTTATGGCCATTGTGAAATTTACATACCCTGGTGGATCTAATTGTGTTCAAGGATGAGTCGAGTTGACGCTCAAGATGCTCGAGCTCCTTTGTGCTTAATTGCCCCAAATCTTCCCCAAGAAAATGCCTGAAGAATTTCAAATAGTGATCTCCTCAAATAAGTAATGAGTATTAGGCACAATACTATGTCTTTGAAATGACAAAACTTGCATATTAATCTGCAAGTGATGCACTATGGTGAAGTTACCTTTGAGATTGTTGCAGGGCCTCAACTTCTGCTTTGAGGTTTAAATACTCCTGGTAGATGCTCTGCTTATGGACATGCAGCAGTTAGGTTTTAGTTTAAAGAACAAGGTCGAGGGGCATATTGGGCATTTCAATCAACAGCAACTAGCTGAAGTATGGTTGTGCATGAGTTCATTACTATACCTAGTTAAAAAGAAGATTCAATGTAATAGAAAGTGACGAGCCCAAATTTAGCTGAGTCAAACCTAATTAATTAAGTTTAAATCAACTAAAAAATAGGCCAAACTCAATTCATGAATTCGGTCCAAATCAAGATTCAAGGGATCCAAGAATATTAGCGCACGAGGATAGTAATTACCGGAATAGCCACTCTCCAAGATCAAAACTATCTCTAATTATACATATCTTAGTTGTAACTATCCNCCTACACTACAAAAAATAGCAACTTTAGTGACAAGAAAAGTCGTTACTAAAACTCTTAAATTTGTCATAAAAGTAGTTAGCGGTGAAAAAAAAATTGCGACTAGGTTGTCACTATAGATGTGTCACTATAAGTTAATAGTGACAAGCTACATAAGTTGTCACAAATAATATAGACCNCGTTACCACCTCAACTAAGGTTTTGTGCCTATAAATTGTAAACCCTCACGAGAGACATCTCTCCCTACACACCTTGTACACAGTACTCTCTCTCTTAGCTGCCTAGAACTCACCCTTGCTCTCTCTCTCTTTCTCCCACCATCTACTTTATTAATAAAGTTCTCAGACCACCGTCGCCGCCTTTCAAGTGGAGTTGGTCATCCTGATCGAACCACTATACATCTGTATGTTGCTTGTGTTAATTCAATATTTGTCTCATTCATTAATTATTTTATAGATTGCTTAATTAATTATTTTGAATCATACATTCGACTGTTGATTGTGTATAAACTTATTTTGTGTATCATCAAAAAGNATCAAGATGAGTAGTTTACTACTTCTATTGGGAGAATTTTCTATATTAAACTGTGGGTGTATGTGTGTGTGAATTTTTATATATATGATATATGTTGATGTTTGGGGTTGCAATTAAATATTTTACAATTGTGAATTGTTATACTTGTGAAGTTTGGAAAAACTTATGAGATGATTTTATATCATTGCTCAAATGTGTTTTGATGATGAAAGGAAAATTTTGTGTGCGTTAAGACTAAAACAACAGTTTTAGTGTGTATGTTGAAATCATGTTTTATGAGAAGGGGACTGGGTTATCAGGTCTAAATGGTAATGAGATTGTATACCGGTGTAGTCGGTATAGGGATGTGCACATAGGTGCCAGTTATCAGGCTAGTGATAACAAGAGATGAGACCAGTTGTCAGACTAGTGGTGACAAGAGACGGGACCAGTTACCAGGCTAGTGGTAACAAACATGATTTGACAAATNTACATATAGTTTTAAATATGGTAGTATTGTGGGATAGGTCAAACTTTTTATATATATGTATAGATATAGATACATATATTCTCTTCCCAACACCTACACAGACATTAGAATAATAGAAAAGAGAGGAGAGGCTAGGGTTTTGAGTAAAGAAAAAGGAAGAGAAATAAGAAGGGAATTTAGAGAAGAATGAAGAAAACTTGAAGATTTGATCATCAAGGTTAGTCTTCAAATTGAAATTTAATTTTGTATTTAATCATTATATATATATATTCATGGTGAAGAATAGTGATGGATGTATAAATAGGTTTTATTGGAAGTAGTTAATTTAAGTGTTTTGAGACCTAATATTAGATTTATTGTTTTTAAGGCTTTAAAGAATTTGTTTAATGTCTTACCAAGGCAAAAAACAAAAAACCAAAGGGGAAAGGAATACTGGTTCAAGTTCTACCGCAGGACGAAGAAGACCAATTCCAAAAAAATTATAGAAACACCCTTTTTGTTTCAAAGAGTTTTATTTTGACCCCTTTATTCTTCTAAACTTAATTTTAAGTACCTTTGTACTTGGTAAGTTGGAAGAACAGAATTCTTAAAAATTTATGGCAAGCCCGAAAACAGAAAATTCGTTTTTTTAAGGAAATTATACTTTGGCCCCAAAAGTTTTAAAAATTATGATTTGACCCCAAAACTTTAAAAAAAATTTCTAAATAGGCCAGAATACTTTCATACCCTATTATCTCATATTAGAAAGGATATTTATATGTGAAATATATATTAAATATATATCAATGGATAGGAAGTAAAAAAATTAAATATAAAATCGTGAAACGACGAAATTAGGAAAAAGAATTTACTGTTATATGTTATTTTTGGAATAGGTGGTGATTGCATTAAGATTGAGAAAGAGTTCTTNATAAAAATTAAATATAGAATCGCGAAACGACGAAATTAGGAAAAAGAATTTACTGTTATATGTTATTTTTGGAATAGGTGGTGATTGCATTAAGATTGAGAAAGAGTTCTTTGAATTGGATTTTAGAGATCAAGATGAGTAGTTTACTACTTCTATTGGGAGAATTTTCTNAAAAAAATTAAATATAAAATCGTGAAACGACGAAATTAGGAAAAAGAATTTACTGTTATATGTTATTTTTGGAATAGGTGGTGATTGCATTAAGATTGAGAAAGAGTTCTTTGAATTGGATTTTAGAGATCAAGATGAGTAGTTTACTACTTCTATTGGGAGAATTTTCTATATTAAACTGTGGGTGTGTGTGTGTGAATTTATATATATATGATATATGTTGATGTTTGGGGTTGCAATTAAATATTTTACAATTGTGAATTGTTATACTTGTGAAGTTTGGAAAAACTTATGAGATGATTTTATATCATTGCTCAAATGTGTTTTGATGATGAAAGGAAAATTTTGTGTGCGTTAAGACTAAAACAACAGTTTTAGTGTGTATGTTGAAATCATGTTTTATGAGAAGGGGACTGGGTTATCAGGTCTAAATGGTAATGAGATTGTATACCGGTGTAGTCGGTATAGGGATGTGCACATAGGTGCCAGTTATCAGGCTAGTGATAACAAGAGATGAAACCAGTTATCAGACTAGTGATGACAAGAGACGGGACCAGTTACCAGGCTAGTGGTAACAAACATGATTTGACAAATGTATTTGAAACTGAATGTGTGTGTGTGTGTGAGAGTGTTTTGAGTTATAAATGTTTATAAAGTTATTTGTTAAATTGAGTGTGTGTTTGGGTTATAAATGTCTTTTTTTTTATAAAGTTTTTTATGATCATGAGATCATTTTGTTTCCATGATTATGTGGAAGGAATTAGGGTACAATTTGTTGTACTTATGTAGGTAACAAATTTTATTTTTGCATATAAAATTTGGAATTTATTTTCACACCTCATTAGAGGTAGTTGCTATTCACGAGCCTTTGTACTCACCCAAACATTTAACATTTTTCAGGTGAGGATCAAGGAGAGGAGTAAGTCCCCGGATAGACAAAGAATTAGAAGGATTGAAGATTTATTTCATTGTAGATTTTCAAGAATAAATACCTTTTATAGTTTTGAGACAAATATTTAATTATTTTTGGGATTAATGTTGCTCATGTTTAGACTTTAGAGTAGTGAACCTTATAGTTTAGTTATTGTTTTACATGAGTTTAATAATGATATTGGTGATGTTTAGTTTATTCCTTTGGTATTCATTAGATCGGTGAAATTGATCATTTTATTATTTGTCTTCCGTTGTATTTTGCATTTATTATACACAGGATTAGTTGGTTAAGGTCTTGGTGGCCGATCTGTTGCTCACCCTATGTGATCCGGGGTGGGGGTTTGACAGTTTCATCCATTCAAATTTTGATAAAACCATCCCTTCGTGGGATGGAGATTTAAGGGATAGTTTTTTATAATATCAAAATCGGATAGGATGCTTGCTGATTTCTTGCATCGCATGGTGTTGTCGCTAACATGTGTTTAGAATGAAATAGTAAAAAAAAAAAAAGAAAAGGTGAAGTTACCTGTGAATCCTTGGCGGGTCGGCTTGCACCATAACTGCATCTTTGATACCTCTCCAGCGTACTGGCCATACTAGAAAACATAGAAGCCCATNACCTTTTATAGTTTTGAGACAAATATTTAATTATTTTTGGGATTAATGTTGCTTATGTTTAGACTTTAGAGTAGTGAACCTTATAGTTTAGTTATTGTTTTACATGAGTTTAATAATGATGTTAGTGATGTTTAGTTTATTCCTTTGGTATTCAAGAGATCGGTGAAATTGATCATTTTATTATTTGTCTTCCGTTGTATTTTGCATTTATTATACACAGGATTAGTTGGTTAAGGCCTTGGTGGCCGATCTGTTGCTCACCCTATGTGATCCGGGGTGGGGGTTTGACAGTTTCATCCATTCAAATTTTGATAAAACCATCCCTTCGTGGGATGGAGATTTAAGGGATTGTTTTTTATAATATCAAAATCGGATAGGATGCTTGCTGATTTCTTGCATCGCATGGTGTTGTCGCTAACATGTGTTTAGAATGAAATAGTAAAAAAAGAAAAAAAGAAAAGGTGAAGTTACCTGTGAATCCTTGGCGGGTCGGCTTGCACCATAACTGCATCTTTGATACCTCTCCAGTGTACTGGCCATACTAGAAAACATAGAAGCCCATGCCAAAATTTTTAGACATAGTGAACTTTCTAAATGGTGTCCACAGTCAATGAAAAGGACCATTTTTTTCCCAGTTTTGATGGGGGAGAAAGCATACTCTATATAGGGGAGGTACTCTACTAGAAGTTCGAATCCAGTACAACCTTTACACAAAGATTAAAGCTTAAAGCATTTGAAAACAAGTGTGTGGTGATCTCACAGACACGTTAGTTGCAATAACCCAGGAGTGATGGTACACATTACTTAAAGAACCATCCTTGGCTCCTAAGAATTTTGGTCATCTTCCCTTTTTCTTCATGCGTGTTCATCAATTATAGCATTTCAGTTAATCTAAACAAACCTCTAAATCCAAAAATGGCTTGAAGTTGTTAAGATGAGTTTATGCTTCAACAGCCCTACATCAAACTAATATTCAGGAATAAAGGACCAATTAGCTCAATTTTCATCTCAAGAGTTACAAAATCATTAGGCTAGGGTATTAGCTTCTTAGATCAAATCATTAAATTGCAGTAGCATTATTGTTATTGTATATGAAAATGGCGTCGTTGACAAAAAATTCCCCCATTTGGCTGGAAGTGTGGAGTTTGAGCTTTATATACATATGAGCTTACTTATTAACCAACAGACTGGTGACCAAATGCTAAATGATGAGAGCTTAGCTCGCCAACCACCAACTAATCCAATGTGTCATTCAGTAAAGCACATGTAAGCGGAAAAAAAAAGGCCCCTATTTGGACATAATCTTCAGTAACAAGTGAGGCACTTAAATGCTTCAAATATTGTAAACAAAATCGATATTAAAATACCAATACAATCAATCATAAGAATAGACTCTTGTCTAGTTGTATATGAAGTGAGATTTAAAAATGAGTTGAACATAGGGGAGACATTTAAACCATAGTCCAATTGATTTGAGTTTGATGATTCTATGGACTATTTGTCATTCATTAGAATTATTTATATAAACAAACTTCAAATCATTTTTTTCTCAATCCGATCAAGAAGAAAACTTCCTATAGGCTTCTTGGGGGTATCACTCATATACCATATACATCCACCCAAAAAACATGTTTCTAAGAAGGCAAAGCAGCCAATGTCAACACAATTATTTTTTAAGCTTTGTTGTATTTCTCTTCGTCAGTCCATAAAATTATTTATCTTCTGGAAAAACAACATTCTATGTGCATATATATTGCCTCAATTTGCCATATTTCTGGCGAGTGAGACAAATTATTTGATGTAGTCAGCAATCATGGCCATAGATATGGACATTTTCTGATGTGCTTTTATTAAGGTGGTGTAGTTTCACCTTTATTTTCTAGTAGTATCTATTCTTATAATTAAGGGAGAGAGTTTTGACTGCTAAAAACTATGAGATTGAGAATGCTANCCTTTGGTATTCAAGAGATCGGTGAAATTGATCATTTTATTATTTGTCTTCCGTTGTATTTTGCATTTATTATACACAGGATTAGTTGGTTAAGGCCTTGGTGGCCGATCTGTTGCTCACCCTATGTGATCCGGAGTGGGGGTTTGACAGTTTCATCCATTCAAATTTTGATAAAACCATCCCTTCGTGGGATGGAGATTTAAGGGATTGTTTTTTATAATATCAAAATCGGATAGGATGCTTGCTGATTTCTTGCATCGCATGGTGTTGTCGCTAACATGTGTTTAGAATGAAATAGTAAAAAAAAAAAAAGAAAAGGTGAAGTTACCTGTGAATCCTTGGCGGGTCGGCTTGCACCATAACTGCATCTTTGATACCTCTCCAGCGTACTGGCCATACTAGAAAACATAGAAGCCCATGCCAAAATTTTTAGACATAGTGAACTTTCTAAATGGTGTCCACAGTCAATGAAAAGGACCATTTTTTTCCCAGTTTTGATGGGGGAGAAAGCATACTCTATATAGGGGAGGTACTCTACTAGAAGTTCGAATCCAGTACAACCTTTACACAAAGATTAAAGCTTAAAGCATTTGAAAACAAGTGTGTGGTGATCTCACAGACACGTTAGTTGCAATAACCCAGGAGTGATGGTACACATTACTTAAAGAACCATCCTTGGCTCCTAAGAATTTTGGTCATCTTCCCTTTTTCTTCATGCATGTTCATCAATTATAGCATTTCAGTTAATCTAAACAAACCTCTAAATCCAAAATGGCTTGAAGTTGTTAAGATGAGTTTATGCTTCAACAGCCCTACATCAAACTAATATTCAGGAATAAAGGACCAATTAGCTCAATTTTCATCTCAAGAGTTACAAAATCATTAGGCTAGGGTATTAGCTTCTTAGATCAAATCATTAAATTGCAGTAGCATTATTGTTATTGTATATGAAAATGGCGTCGTTGACAAAAAATTCCCCCATTTGGCTGGAAGTGTGGAGTTTGAGCTTTATATACATATGAGCTTACTTATTAACCAACAGACTGGTGACCAAATGCTAAATGATGAGAGCTTAGCTCGCCAACCACCAACTAATCCAATGTGTCATTCAGTAAAGCACATGTAAGCGGAAAAAAAAAGGCCCCTATTTGGACATAATCTTCAGTAACAAGTGAGGCACTTAAATGCTTCAAATATTGTAAACAAAATCGATATTAAAATACCAATACAATCAATCATAAGAATAGACTCTTGTCTAGTTGTATATGAAGTGAGATTTAAAAATGAGTTGAACATAGGGGAGACATTTAAACCATAGTCCAATTGATTTGAGTTTGATGATTCTATGGACTATTTGTCATTCATTAGAATTATTTATATAAACAAACTTCAAATCATTTTTTTCTCAATCCGATCAAGAAGAAAACTTCCTATAGGCTTCTTGGGGGTATCACTCATATACCATATACATCCACCCAAAAAACATGTTTCTAAGAAGGCAAAGCAGCCAATGTCAACACAATTATTTTTTAAGCTTTGTTGTATTTCTCTTCGTCAGTCCATAAAATTATTTATCTTCTGGAAAAACAACATTCTATGTGCATATATATTGCCTCAATTTGCCATATTTCTGGCGAGTGAGACAAATTATTTGATGTAGTCAGCAATCATGGCCATAGATATGGACATTTTCTGATGTGCTTTTATTAAGGTGGTGTAGTTTCACCTTTATTTTCTAGTAGTATCTATTCTTATAATTAAGGGAGAGAGTTTTGACTGCTAAAAACTATGAGATTGAGAATGCTATAGCCTCCTTTTGAGAGTTGAGCGATTATTCTCTTGAAGGTGAGTGCATTCCTTCTTTAGGTAAGTGATTCCCTGACTATCCTTCCTTTAATGAGTGACTCCCCATCTATCCTTCCTTATTCTATTGTTTACATCTAATCTTAAAACTCTNTTTAGCCTCCTTTTGAGAGTTGAGTGATTATTCTCTTGAAGGTGAGTGCATTCCTTCTTTAGGTAAGTGATTCCCTGACTATCCTTCCTTAATGAGTGACTCCCCATCTATCCTTCCTTATTCTATTGTTTACATCTAATCTTAAAACTCTTGATATCAATCGTTTCTTAATTCCAAATTTCAGTCTATCTTTTTAATTTGGACTGCATCAAGCTCTATGATATTTGAAAACCCTAGTTGATAGGTCAAAGGCCTAAATTCAAATGACACTTAAAATATGGAAGTGAAACTCGGGGACGAGTTTTCTCTATGTTGCGGGTATGATGCAGTAAAAAAGAATATGAAAATTCCTTTGCTGTAGTTAGTGCTATCTACCTATAGCTTCTTGTAGTATTTATGCTGTAANTAGGTCAAAGGCCTAAATTCAAATGACGCTTAAAATATGGAAGTGAAACTCGGGGACGAGTTTTCCCTATGTTGCGGGTATGATGCAGTAAAAAAGAATATGAAAATTCCTTTGCTGTAGTTNACAATAGACTCTTGTCTATTTGTATATGAAGTGAGATTTAAAAATGAGTTGAACATAGGGGAGACATTTAAACCATAGTCCAATTGATTTGAGTTCGATGATTCTATGGACTATTTGTCATTCATTAGAATTATTTATATAAACAAACTTCAAATCATTTTTTTCTCAATCCGATCAAGAAGAAAACTTCCTATAGGCTTCTTGGGGGTATCACTCATATACCATATACATCCACCCAAAAAACATGTTTCTAAGAAGGCAAAGCAGCCAATGTCAACACAATTATTTTTTAAGCTTTGTTGTATTTCTCTTCGTCAGTCCATAAAATTATTTATCTTCTGGAAAAACAACATTCTATGTGCATATATATTGCCTCAATTTGCCATATTTCTGGCGAGTGAGACAAATTATTTGATGTAGTCAGCAATCATGGCCATAGATATGGACATTTTCTGATGTGCTTTTATTAAGGTGGTGTAGTTTCACCTTTATTTTCTAGTAGTATCTATTCTTATAATTAAGGGAGAGAGTTTTGACTGC